ATTAGTGTCATGAACGGGACTCGAACCCACAACCATCGGCTCTATATCTAGAAATGGAGGTTGTGGGTTCGAGTCCCGCTTGTGACATTACTTTTCTCTCTCAACCACACTGTACGTATATATAAAATTATCTATACACATACGTAATATAGGATAGTATAAAGTTAACTTTTTTCGTAAATCAACGTAATTAGTTATCACATGATCGAAATTCAGTCTATCAGAAGAATTAATAGTGAGAATAAATTATATATAATATAATGTGGTCCGCTTGACCAAAAATGACAAAAAGGAGGGCAAATTCAAAAGGTGGGGTTGAGATGGGAAGTTAGTGCCCGAGGGGATCGAAGTCACGATAGCTCAAGAGTAGAGTAGCAGCGCATCAAGCCGAAAGGTCGTGGGTTCGAATCCCGCTCATGACACTGACTTTTTTATCTCGACTTAAAAACCTTAATTAATTGAATATATATAATATACTCAATTCACTAGTTTTCGTGGTCCGCTTGATCAATTAATATCTTTCAATTAATTAAGGTTTTTAGTTGAGATAAAAAAGTCAGTATCACGAGCGAGATTCGAACTCACGATCTTCGGTTAAATACGCCGCTGCTCTGCCACTTGAGCTATCGTGACCTCGATCCACTCGAACACTACTCCCATCTCAACCACACCTTTTGAATTTTCCCNAAAAGTGGACAAGTAGGATTCTTCAGGCATATAAAATCAATCACTAAAACTTGCATTTATTGAGATTAGCAACTTCGAAGTGAATTTCAATGTTTGTTACTAATCGCCTTGACCTGTCGGAGATCGGATGTAAACGAGGCCAAGATCTATAAACTATAAATCCATACAGCACAAAATAGTCTAGTATTTTCTCGAGAAGGATGATGCAAACCTTAACCCAGTTGGTGGCTGAATTTAATCTCTGAGCGCAAACATCCCACACATCAAACGTATGAGTGTATGAACCACATTTCTAGGGTGAAAATGTTACGCGTATATTATTCAAAATAAAGCCTACCACGTTAGATGAAAACGAATAGGCCATTCGGTATTGGAGAAATTAATTTTACCATTAAAACTTATTTTTTATTATTGGTTTTCTATCTATGAATATGAACCAATTATCTTGTATGCAAAGTAGGATGAATATATCGATTTTTTATGTCAGGTGGAGATTTAACTGGCCAGAAATGGGCTTTGTATAAATAATTTATTAACTGATTTAACAATTTTTTAAATGAATTGAGCGTAGAATTTTTTGTTAAAAATTGGGTTGAATTCTGCGACAAATCTGTAGCTCGATCGTCTCTGGTTTTGTTGGGGCTGTCGATCTGACTTTAGGCCTTTCACCTTCTTCGGATGTTGGCGTTATTTTCGTGTCTTTTTACGTTTCTGAATGAATAGTTTCATCAATTATTATTCAGAAATCGTGAGATGAGGTCTGGTGCGATGTAGGTTTCAGAAAAACATTTTCTTCATCGTGCCAACGTTTCGATCTTGATTTAGATCATCTTCAGGGCCTGGGATTTACAAACATTGTTTACATTTAACAAATACATGTAGGATGTGGAAAAAAGTGAATTTATGCAATGCAAAAAAGTATACATTTTTTTATATTCAATTAAAGTATTTTAATTACTAATCTTGATTTTCCTCGCGTCGCTTATTGTGTCCGCTAGTTCCCTTTCTTGAGGTATTTTTTTATAGAGTACATGGTTAGTGCAACTTTATTGATTTGACGAATTAAAAAAAAAAGTTACTATTGACAAAATAACGCACAGCAACGTCAGGGTAAATTGATTGAAAACGACTAATTTAAATATTGAAAAACCTCCATTAATTTAATATAAATATATACCATTTGAAATTACCTTCTCAAAGACGCCAAAATTGTGACGCCCTAGGAAGAGGTAGAGTATTAAAGCAATTTTTTTTACAATACATTGGCATTATATGAACATTAACAGCTTGTGTGGTGATTAGTGACCGTTAATCGATAATTATTCAGAAATCGTGAGATGCGGTCTGGTGTAATCTGGGTTTCAGAACAACATTTTCTTTATCGTGCTAACGTTTCGATCTTTATTGGGATCATCTTCAGAGCTCAAAGTGTTTGTTTTCTGTGCAATTGTGCCATTCTTGCCTGTCGTGTTGAGAGTGCCACGCAAGAATGGCACAATTACACATAAGACAAACACTTTGAGCCCTGAAGATGATCCCAATAAAGATCGAAACGTTAGCACGATAAAGAAAATGTTGTTCTGAAACCCAGATTACACCAGACCGCATCTCACGAGTTCTGAATAATTATTAACAGCTTGTTTCAAAATCAATTAACTATTCTTTGAAATAAGTGTATCAGTTTGGTGTATTTTTTTATAACTAATACGTTGTTTAAGATCTGTAATTTCTAGTAGGAAAATTGATTAAAGCCGAGTGGTTGGGTACTGAATCCCGCCATAGGCCATGCTTTTTTTATTGAGAATAATATAAAAGGTATTGCCAAGTGGTTCTGACCCCTCATTCACGGGTATTTGGATTTTAAGCCCCCCTATATGACATAAATTTCTTTACCTTAAATATTTCAGGGATGGCTTGTTATGTTGTGAAAGTTTATAATTTCCACAGCGAATGTCATGTTTTTATTGATTTACTTAAGATCCATTGCAGTGTCATTGCTGTAATCATATTATGTGAATATGCGTGTGACTTAGTTCTTTTGGTCGATTGTGTCGTCCGGGATAGCTCCTTAATTTCAATAGGTAAATTGATTATGAAGCTATTAAATTTAAGTTGAAATCGTGTTTTTTAAAATTATTTCAGGAATGAAGGAAGCATTTGGATGAGTGGACGGAATTCGGCCATGACTCGTTCTGCACAAGTCGAGGGATGATGGTCAATGTCGCTAAAACCGGATGGGCGTTTGATATTTTAGACATGGCACATCATCGACATTTGAACGCCAGTCAGGAGGAATTTGCAAAAAAACACCTATATATGTATATGCAACTGGTTTTAAGACAAATTAACATATTAAAGTGTGAGATAAATCGGCGTCGGATAATTTTTGATGAGTGGATGTTGACACTTTATAATCCACCACTTACATTGAATGAACATCGGCATTTTTTCGGCCCTTTTTTTTTATTTTTTTTTTTTTTTTTTTTTTAAATTAACTATTAATCGCGATATCCTTGCTGTCTCGCCGTTTCGCCATCTTCGGTTATTGGTCTGTACGTTATTTTGTAAATTTTTCAACACTTAACAAGAAATCTCACGGTATTTCGACTTTCATTGTTTCCATTAATGAAAAAATGTCACATTCCGTTTCAAAACAGGTAAAGTTATTTTCACATAGCAGTCTGATTTAATAAATTAACCTTAATGAAAATATTAGTTTCATACAATAATTAGTATATTAAAATTAATTGTATACAGTAATTAGCAAGGATATATGTGTGTGTTGCGATCATGTGTGCAATCTAATGTAATATTAGTCGCTCGAAAAGATAAAATTAGTGTTTTTTTATTACATTCACTAGTTTTCATGGTCCGCTTGACCAATTAATATTTTTCAATTAATTAAGGTTTTAGTTGAGATAAAAAAGTCAGTGTCACGAGCGGGATTCGAACTCACGATCTTCAGCTAGATACGCCGCTGCTCTACCACTTGAGCTATCGTGACTTCGAAAAATGGCAAAAAGGAGGGAAAATTCAAAGGTGGGGTTGAGATGGGAAGTTAGTGTCCGAGTGGATCGAAGACACTTTTTTATCTCATCTAAAAACCTTAATTAATTAAATTTTTTATTACATTTTCCCTTTATTGAAGTAAACTCTTTACACCAGTGAGATTGATAAATAATAATAAACAAATACTGACTAAAATTAAATTGTGTTAATAGAAAAAACAAACCTACGTTTTATAACTACCAGCTTGCCAATCTAAAATTAAGAAACACTTTCATATACTCACGAGAAGGAATAAAAAATCAGGGATAAGGCAAATTTGGAAGAAAAAAGAAATCAATACATGTAGAAATGTCTAATCTCTTAAGCTAAACCATAAATTCATTATGGTTAAACACATAATTTTTTTATACTGTAAGTAGATTATGTTTGTTAAACTTGTAAATCGTTAGAAATAATTTCAAAGTATTGATTAAGGAGATACATTTGTAGAAAGTTTCTAAAACAAAAGACGAAAGGAACTAAGTGTTTTTGTTTGTTTTTATTCAAATTTACCATGGATTTTGTATATATGCTAGGAAAGAGTGTAAAAAACATAAAATCAAGGATTGTATATTTTATGCTGTACTCCACATATTAAGCAATGATGTAACAAATGAATCTTGGAATTGTTGAAATTGTTACAAAATGTTTCGAAATATATACCCAATTTTATTAGGTTTCGTGGTCCGCTTGACCNATGAAATAAAAATGTATATATATAACATATATAAATTAATCAATCTGAGCTTCTGAAGTACTCAAATTAATATAATTTGAACTAATTAATAATTATTAGAGTGGTTAAAAACGAAATTTCAGCAGTGGATTGGGCGAAATATTTTATTTTATTTTACTGTACTATTGATAAAAATGTTTCAAGTCAACGATTTATATAAAATTTGCGTTGAAAACTAACCAAGTAAGCATTGTGAGATGAAAATTATTTGTGAAAATGTAAAAAAAATGCAATTTTTATATTTATTACGCGACCTTTTTTAATCTTTTTATTCCGACCAAAATTATATGTATGTAATGTATTTTAAAAACAAAAAATTAACAAAAGTGTGGGTGCGTTTATTAAAAACGAGCAAGCGAATTGAGTCCTTTTTTGAAACTGTTAGTTGTTGTTGGTAGGAGGAAGCGAGACTGGCCGAGACAACAATCGGCCTTAGCCGGGGTTGAAAGGGGTTACTTTCCAGGGGTCATACGTTCTGCATACGAGTTACCGAAATGGCGAGACCACACCCTTGCCACTCGGCGCCCCACCCTTCGCCCTGGACCAGTATATAAGCACGGAGTGGGCTCTTTACCCCTAACACTACGTGCTCTCCATTCACATCATCACCATGGCTTTTATCAAGGTACATAACGTTTTAGAAGATTTAAATAAAAACGCGTGTGTGATTTGATCCGGCCTATTTGTACGAACCCGGCTTCCCCGTGTGCCTCGCGGAATGGATTATCCGAATTTTTTTCACTAGATGTTTAATGGTAAACTCTGTATAATGGATGCTTTAAGTTCACGAGGTATTTAAAGTGGCTGTGGAATTTTCTCAGTTTGACTTAAAAACAACATAACGGTACAGAGATTTAATTTATCTCCCTTCAGTTTATTAGTAAAAATGATCTGTTCTTTGAGGAACGCATTGACCAAAATTCAATTTCGATCAGACTCATTCTTTCCAAACTTGCTATAACAGTTGTACCGTGTGTTTTGTTTTTCCTCTCTTTAATTTGCAACGTCATTAAACTGTTGGCAAATAAGTATTTTATATTATAGCTTAATATGTATAATAATAATAAATTCTTAAAATTTATTATAACAGTTGTTAATAATGTGTAAGTTTGGGTTTTCTAGATGTTTCACTTGCTTGTTATCTAATTGTCATATCTGGAATTCAGTTCGAAATATGGCGAAATATATATTGGCCTGATTTAATTAAAAAGCATAATTTATTTGAATTACGTAAATGAGGAAAGTGGCAGGGTGGCCTTTTACACCCCTGCAGTAAAACGTTGGCATTGCTGTTGGATCTAATCCCCGTTAGATAATCTTAAGAGCCGTTTCAAAGTAGGGAGCACGGAGGAAAAGGTTCGATTTATTTACCCCATTTCGTAATAATTTATGCTTCTGGGTTGTCACTTTCGGGTAGGAAGGAGGGGGCATTTAAGGAAACGCCGGCGGGACTTTATCATTGCCGATAATTGGCCTGCCGTCTGCGTTTCAGGAAAATATCGAAAGTTCGGTTTGGATTAATGGCCCGATCTGGAGACACTCTCGGTTCGGACCAATTTTCCGTTTGCCATCTCGACACTACGACCAAATATTTTCGAAAGGCGGGCAGTACACAGGCTGAGAGCGAGCTCGTACTTTCCATTAAATCTGCAGGTTCCGCGTTCGTATTCACTTATGTAAAAGGCGTGCTGAGAGACGTGAGCTCAATAATTTTTCCAATTCGATTTACGGGGTGTAGCGGATGAAGGCTCATAAACAAGCGAAATCCATTACCGCTTTAATAAAAACCCATAAACGATGAGACCTTTGCGAAGAAGTTACGATTACAAAATCGCCGGACTATATGCATTATTGATTGGGCCCGAACGAAGTAACAGTGTCTGGACTTTGCCTTTGTTACGTAAACGGTTTACGCACTTGCTCCCACCTTTCACCTACTAAGCCCGATGCCCTATTTTATTCAGATATATAACTGTCCGCCAATTAAGTACCGACAGGACGGGTTCCAATTTTGTTGGGCAAAATCAAAAACCGGAGAGACTTCGACGGTCGGTCAAGCAAAAAACAGCTACTTCACGCCCATTTTATCATTATGAACTTCATTATATTTCATCTCTGCAATAGCTAATTTTCTTTTACATGTAAATGTGTAGAACATATCAACGTTCTATTCTCAATTCAGCTTTAAATTTTGAGACTTGTATTTTATTGCATTCACAAGTCATGTTGTTTCAATGCCTTGAAATAACCCAATATTTAATTTTATACTTACAATTAGATACATTTAAATGTTCATCTTGGTTGTTTATTTCAACGGGTCATTTCGAAATCGTTTCTTTTAATAATGTCATCAGTTTGATCAGAATTAATCTCACTGGTCCGCTTGCACCCGCTCATTTTACAACCCGAACACGTTTGATTTACAGGCGCTCGGAGCAGCCTGTTTGCTGGCTCTGGCTTCGGCTTCCTGGGACCCGGAACTTGAGTACCACGCGAAGTGCGCTTACGGACACGGCTACCAAGGAGGCTACTCGGCCGGAGGCTACTCTGCCGGAGGAAACTCCGTCTACTCTTCTGGAGGATATTCCACCGGTTATAACGGAGGTTACAACGGCGGACACAACGCTGGATACAACGCCGGATACAACGGAGGATACGTGTCCCACGCCCCAGCTGTCGCTTCTTACTCCCTCGGAGGTAATTATCAACTATAAAATTTCACGTTACACTATTAAGTTTTAACAATAAGATATAAAATCGGGAACTACTTTTAGATCTTATAACAAACCTATTTTAGTAACCGTTCTTAAGAAGGAATTTTCCCTTCATCCTTTTAACTACTAAAAAGCTGATGAATGCGTAATAAAACATACATGAAATAAAGGGTATAATAATTAATAAACTTGTGTGATTGAATAAGTAATAAGTTAGGTAGTCATATTGGCATCTTTACTAGCGAATTTCACCAGCTGTTTTAGTTTAGCTGTCAATGGGGCAAAGACAATCTTTTTTTACATTTGGTCGATATCAAGGCTTTTTCTCTTAAAGGGGTCGAAGCTTTTATTTAGCAGTATTATGAACTTTATTAATAAATATAATTAAAAAAACCGTTAAAGTTGATCCTATAATACTTGTCTGCTTAGTCTCGCCTATTTGGTCTGTTACAGATCTGTCTGAAAGATCAAACTAGATACCTACGATAGGCAGGACCGGAAGTATTAATAAAAATAAAGTATTAATAAAATCGAGCATTGGAATCACCTCACAGATTCTATTTAAGAAATCGAATTTATTTTTCATATTAATGACTTACTTATTAATGAATGTGTATACTTTTCTAATAATGGATTGCTGAAAGCATGACTGACATTGTGCCTAATGAAGCGAAATCGCAAAAATTAAAATTGAGAGCGGCGTAACGGGCTGGATAATTGTTATTAATTGGTTTATTTAGGAGTCTCTAAGGGCTATTACTCCGGTGGCGCCGTAGGGGGTGGGTACTCTCTCCAGGCCGCTCCTGCTGTCAAGTATGCAGTACCCGCTGTGCAGACATACTCCACCGGATTTAACACGCACTACAAGTCAGCCCCCGCCTTCGCCTACTCAGCAGGACCTGCGGTCAAGGTGGCCGCTGCTGTACCGGCTGTCGCTTCCTACGTCGCTCCAGCTGTTAAGGTAATTATTTAAAATTATACAAAACTATTACGACGAGTTATGGACGATGAACATTTGTAAAAACTTGGTCGATGTTCAGAACGCTTGTTATTCCTTTATTTATTCGCTTAAGATACGATTCGTTGTTATTATTTTATGTTTTTCCACTTCTTGTTGACTACAATATAATTAATAATAAGCTATATATTCTGAATAAGGACAAAGTGGGTAAAAATCTGGCGTATTTCCTTCCTTTTTGCTAGTCTTTAACAACTTGCTCCTGCATTTTATTTTTTTTTAATTTTTAATTGAATATTGCTGTTTGGTGAGTGGTAAAGATTGACCGGAGCTGCTTGCAATATCTAGATAGGATTTTACGTACGAAGGGTAATTAAGGTTATTGTATATAATTTCATTGGATCCATAAAAGGATTTTGGATTGAGATTTTTGGATTCATTTTATGGGGAACTCTAACTCTGCATATTTTGCTATTTAATTTACCCAACGTGATCTATCAGGAATTTTAATTTTTTTAATGTTGTTTTACTAAACTATTATTTCTTTCACAAGGTTGCTGCTGCTGTCCCGACTTTGAAAGTCTCTTCCGCTCCTTCCTACTCTTCCTACTCACAAGGAGGATACTCAGGATATTCCGGAGGATACTCCAACGGTGCTTCTTTCTCATCTTCTTACGTCGCTCCCGCTGTCGCTAAAGTAGCCGTCTCAGCTCCTGCTGTGGCTTACCACGCACCGGCCGTCACCACCTACCACGCCGCCCCCGCCGTCGCCACTTACCACGCCGCCCCTGCCGTCTCCACCTATCACGCCGCCCCCGCCGTCGCAGCTTACAACGTTGCTCCGGTCGTCAAATACGCAGCTCCCGCTGTCGCTTCTTACCACCAGGCTTCGTCTGTAAAATACGCCGCCCCGGCCGTCGCCTCTTACGCCGCCGCTCCCGTCGTTAAATACGCAGCACCCGCCGTTGCTTCCTACGCCGCTGCTCCCGTCGTTAAGTACGCAGCTCCTGCCGTCGCCTCTTACTCCGTTAGCCCAGTTGTCAAATACGCCGCACCCGCCGCTGAAGTCCGTTACGCCGCTGCTGCCCCACTTGCTCCCGTCGTTGCCTCTTACGGTGGTCACGCTCACGTCGCCAAAGTAGCCGTCGGCAAATCCGTTCACAAAGAATACCTCGAAAACTACGTACGTATATCATTTTGAATTTACTATTACACCAATCCTGCCTTTACATCATCACCATTAGAGGCGATCAGGCAGTGTCTCTGACAAATCTTAAAGTTTTTTGGGAATTATTGCTGAATCGTTTTTAATTGATTTTTAGGACCACCACCCCAGGTACGCCTTCGAATACGGAGTCGACGACCCTCACACCGGAGACAAGAAACACCAATGGGAAGAACGTGACGGAGATGTCGTCAAAGGACAGTACTCCCTCGTCGAACCCGATGGTTCCGTGAGGACCGTCAACTACGTCGCCGACTGGGAGACCGGATTCCATGCGACCGTCAGCAAAGAAGACCACTCCGCTGCCGCCAAAGTAGCCAAGCCCGTTTTTGGACATTAAGTCCTTCCTTGTGTCAAATCCTCTTTTAGTCAAACAGCGATCCCCACTTCCTTTCCCTGTTCATTCTAACCGCAGTTCAACTTCCTCAAGATTTCATGCAGCATTCAAATCTCAATTAACTAACATTTTCTTTGAATTTTCACTATATATTTAACGCTGTTGGCTGAACTGTATACAACGACGAAAAGTTAAGGATTTATGCTTAAACCAGCCATTGTATATAACTTTTTTTACCTCGCATTTAAAAAAATTATATTGTTTATTTACCCTATGTTACTCGAACGTGCCATACTTGCACTTTTTAGAGCCTCAATTTCCTTAAATTCCCCCAACGAGGCAAACACAACCTTGCTTGTAAATATCGGGTCCTTCTCGTAGAAGACATGTTCTTTTAAATGTCTTTTTAAATTATTAAATTATTATCCAAATGTCTTCTAAAGTTGTACCATTTATTTCTTGATATTACCATTTCTATGTTACCAACCCTTATTTTTATTTTTACCATTTAATATTGAATCAATGAAAAAATTAATTGTAAATATTGACAGAAATTATGTCCACGTGTGGTGATAATAATAATTGCCAGCATTACCAATTAGGGAAGAAAACAATATACCATCGTTTGTATTTTTTTAAATTAAATATTTTCTTACTTTATAATGTAGTTTTTATATGACCTGATTGTGTTCTCTATACTGATTTCTATATATTTTATCTAAGTCAATCGAAAATATTTGTAATTAACTGTATTTGAGAGGAAAGATTCATTAGCGGAAATATTCACCCCTGCTGTTCAATAGTGACGTTTAAATCGCTTGAATAGCACCGGATATGGTTAAGTGAAACAGCAATCAACCTGGCAGTGATTACAAACAAAATTGTTATCTATTTTTTGTTGTGAAGAAAGGAAATTCAAATAATTGATATGATCTTTGAAATATAATGATGTACATTTGTGTTTATATCGCTAAATAATATTTTTTCTTAATGTGAATTGTATTAGGAAATGGTAGCTTGCGATTGGTCCTCTTGAAATCCTTAATAGTATTTCAGTAAAGGAACATTTTAAAAATTATGATTTCCTGTTTGCTCAAATGGTAGCCCAAGGTGAAACGGAAGTGGACTAAACATGCGTTTAAGATGTATTAAAAATTGAGATCATCCCGAAGTTGAAAATGGCCGGCTATTAAGAAGAAAGGAAAATAATGAAAAAAAAATGACGACGTTCAAACTTGTGCAATCCTTATGTAAAGTGCTCCAGAATCTGACGTAAGACTTGTATAATATTAGTCTGGACAGGAGCTGGGCAAATTAGCAGTTTGTACTACCTGGATCCTTCCGGACCAATCAAATTGCATAACCACGCCTACATATGTATGTTTTCTTAACATGAAAATTCGCACAATCCCAATATGCTCCGAGGGTATTTCAAATCCATTCCGAACCGTCAACCTAGATAATAACGTACATAGGAAAGAAGGACTGCTCAGAACAGACCTTTCAACCTATTTTTTGTACTCTAATTTTGTGTTCACCACTGTTTGCTCTTTTTACAATTAACATAAAACTCAAAAACATTAATAGAAAAATTGTCTTGTAGTGATGGTTTTCTAAGACAATAAGTGACATGTGGTACACCTGAAGTTATTGCCAAAGATTCTGAATATGTGTTTGTTTCACAATTTGCCCTTGTTCCAGATGGTTATATATTCCGAGATTTATACTCTAAAGAGTAATTATTTTTATTAATCTTAAATATTATTAATTTTAAAAGTAAAATCATTTGATCGAAAATGATCCAAGGAGTCAGCGTCTTGCTTCATCCTGTTAAAGGATCTGTTGCTTTTTTTAAAAGGATGGAACAACTAAGACATTTGTTTTTGCCTTCCCATTGCTGTTCCTGAGGGAGACCCCATACCGGGTGACCACGTCGGTTCAATTTATTAGAAATTAATTCTATGAGCGGGGTTACTTTAATCGCTTTTATGGGCCCTTTATTTTAAGAAATGTTCATAATGGAAGGGCCATTATTAATTTAAGGTCTCCCTTTACTGGTTCCCTCTTTTCTGCGATATAGAGAAACAACCCACTACACCCTATTGTTGGGTATAAAACACTCCAACGCGAACCCCTTGAAGGCTTTATATGTTTCCTCTTTTTTTGATGAGATCATTGAACGTTCGTGACCTTGACAAAAAGTTTGTGTTTGGCCTCGTGTGTTTCGCAATACTTACATCTAGCACTTTTTACTATCTATTTTGAAGCTGTAAGAAACTGCTGGAACTCTCTTTGTCCCGTCAAAATTTGGGTTATCCAGTAATCAAGAACCACCTTATACTCTACATAAATAATAAATACCTCTACATAAATAATAAATATTCATGGGTAATCTACCTTTTAAACTTGACCCACTCTATTCCATAGACGGAGACAGTCAAGCAAAAAAATTTTTTAATACCAACCTATAGAATAGAATATCAATATAAGATAATATAGTTTTTATGAATTTGTTTTTAAACAATTTTGCCATCTAACTTGTCAAAAGCTCCACAAACTGCCCTAGGTTACCTCATTCTACTTTACTGATTAAACTAGTTTTTGCGGTCCGCTTGACCAATTAATATCTTTCAATTAATTAAGGTTTTTAGTTGAGATAAAATGGTCAGTGTAATCTATTTGATTCTCGGCGACAAATGAAATGGCCACGGAGAGCTTTAGTGAAGATATACTTCATTTTAACTTATTAAATTCACTAGTTTTCGTGGTCCGATTAACCAATTAATATCTTTCAATTAATTATGACATTTGAAAAATGGCAAAAAGGAGGGCAAATTCAAAAGGTGGGGTTGAGATGGGAAGTTAGTGTTCGAGTGGATCGAAGTCACGATAGCTCAAGTGGTAGAGTAGCGGCGTATCTAGCGGAAGGTCGTGGGTTCGAATCCCGCTCGTGACACTGACTTTTTTTAGCTCAACTAAAAACCTTAATTTACTGATGATGCTTAACCTCGTATACTTTAGTAGATTCACCTTAATTGCTGGATGTCTTGCGCTCAGTTTTTCTCCTAACACTACTTCCAGGTATTTTACTTTTCGCTTTCCATCGTTTCGGATTATTGAGAGTGTATTTAATTGGCCTTTCACGATTTAAGTCGGTTTGACGACACCATTCGGATATAATTTCGCGCCGTTTGTATTAATCTTTTCCTTTTGTCCTCCTCAGTAATTATCGAGGTGATCGATAGAAGCCAAGAATTTTATGCCACTTTCATGAAACAGTTTTAACAAGTCCTACGAAAACTACGTTCCAAAAACTTGGTCTCAGCACAGATCTCTGCGTACAACCTCCCTGTATTTTTGTATTTTTCTTTTTTTTTGCGTGTGTTGTGTTGACATTTCTACTTTTCTATCTTCGTAGCTCGAAATCAACTGGAACAGATTTCTCGGGCATCTTTTTCTATTAAGTTCCGTAAGTAGGATTATTCACACTACTTAGTAAAACGCGCCTCGGATAACGAAAAATATCTCCATTGACATTTTCTTATCATTACGCGTGGGATGGCAATCTTTTCTCAAGCCCCATCCATATGGGATCACTGAGCAGATAATGCGTCATGCTGAAAGGAAAAGCATGGTTATCAACCAAAAAGGAAGTAATAAATCTATCAAATAAATTAAGTAACTATGAAAAACCCCAAAAAAATTTATTANTCTAATGTTTTATGCTTCAATGTTGGACGTGAAGCTGCAAGGATATTTGGTCAAAAATTTCCTTCAGTCAGGGTTGATCTCCTCCAGGATTGACCGGTTTGATCGCCTTGCAGTCCAAGGGACTCGCAGAAGTCTTCTCCAGCACCAGAGTTCAAAGGCTTCAGAGTATACTGTCTAGATTTGTCATAGCTTTCCTCCCCAGGAGCAAGCGTCTTTTAATTTCTTGGCTGCAGTCCCCATCTGCGGTGATCTTGGGGCCCAAGAAAATAAGTCTGTCACTACTTCCATTTCTTCCCCATCTATTTGCCAGGAATTGAGAGGGCCAGTTTTTCCCGTATGTTAGGTTAAATCTCCATTGAGCTGTTGCTTCGCATTCGAAGATGATATGAGTGGCTGTTTCCTCCTCCTCATTACATAATCTGCAAATGGGATCATCGTTGTATACACCCATGTTGTGTAGATGTTTTCTCAGATGTCAGTGAGTATTTCTCAGATGTTAGTAGTCCTACCACTCCTCTGAGTTCAGCCCTCTCCAATTGCAGCAATGCTTTTGCCGGTCTTGGTGAGGGTTGTTTCACCATAAGTTTACTAAGTCTAGCACCGCTAGAGTTTATCCACTTTTCCTTTTGCTTTGTTCGGATCCATTCTGCGATGGAGGATTCTATGTTTGTTTTTGTTATCCCAAGTTATAGGTTCAGGTCCTATGTATGGTCTTGCAGATCTTCCTCTGGCCAGACTGTCTGCTTTCTCGTTAGCCAAAATTTCCCTGTGCCCTGGCACCCAAGATATCATCAGGATGTTGTGTTTCCCCCGATTTTGGAGATTTTGGATACATTCACTGACTAATTTTGATGTGATTCTTTGACATGCTATTGCTTTAATGGCTGGTTGGCTATCAGATCTTATGAGGATGTGTTTGCCAGTGTAACCTCTTGTAAGATTTTCCAGGGTACAAGCATTGATTGTACTGAATTCTGACTTGTACAGAAAACGCCTGATCCGGCTCCTTCGTTTGTTTTGGAGCCATCTGTATTCCATATCATTGTATCTGATGCTCTCCTGTGTTCTTTCTCTCCTTTGTAGTCCGTTGAGACTTATAGGAAGTTGTGAAGAATGGTTAGGGATGGTTAGGGGGGTTTCCGGGATCATTTCTAATAATGGCTCTGATTTTGTTGATTATGGTTGTATGCCCGAATTGTTAGTTCCTTTCCAATTTAATTTTTTCTGGAGCCTAAGTGAGCTTTTCCTAGCCTCTCCTTTTATGAATATTTCCAATGGAGGTAGGTTTAGCAGAGTTTCTAATACATTCGTAGGGGTTGTTCTCATTGCCCCTGTGATACATAGGTTTGCTAGTCTTTGTATGCTGCCTAATGTTTGGGTAGCTACTTTTTGTTGAGCTTTGTTCCACCAGATTAGTGATCCATAGGTTATTCTGGGTCTTATTACTGCCGTGTAACGCCAATCGGCCATTTTCGGTTTCAATCCCCAAGATTTACCTTGGATCCTTCTTGTGGTATGAAGTATGGTAGAAATTGTGAATTTTGTGTTTTAATTTTGAATTTTTCGTTGTATAAATAACTCTGTATTACCAATTAAAGTAAATTTTTATGAATGTAATATTTCATGGGGCATCCAAATCATTTTTTTTAAAGTCTCTTTCTCTTCCCTCCTTTTTCTCTCTCGCTAAGACATAAATTCAGCCTGTTGGAAATGAAAGATATACATAGTTTAAATAATGGTGTTCTTTTGCTTTTCGTTCAAAAACTTTTGTTTTCGATCTGGTGTCTGGAATTTAGCTCTCTAAAGGAGGCTTCACTCAGTACTAATCCCATCCATTGTTTTGTTGTTTAAGGAACAATTGTAGTTATTCAACAATAAAACGACGGATAAGATAAGAGGGTAGCTGCCGAGAGATAATAAGGCACTGATACAGCACGTCGGGGTATTTTAATCTTGCACCGCCGGTGGCCGTGTGTTTAGGTCGAAATTCCACCGTGGACGGCACTTGATTCGGGAGACGCCCAAGTCCAAGTACAATGTACAATGACGAAACGTCCGGAAACGAGGGAATAGTAGCATAAACGCCCATGGCCGCAGTTTAGATCTATTTACCGCAAAGAACTGACAACGGCATTCGGCTTTTGGACCCCCGACGGTACATCTCGTCCAATTAGAGCTGATGCAACTTTCCATCTCATCGTCTCTCTTCTGCTGGAATTCACCGACCAGTGGATTTAATTGGTATTAATTAATTCATTAATACGATTTAATCACGTATTAAATTGTTTTTTACTATTTTGAAATGGAACAAATTGTGAGTTTTCTCTTATCTTATTTCACCTTCAAATTTTCTAATCAACAGAAACAATAAATAAATTACAAAATAGATTCAACTTCCAGTCATTAAAGTTTACTTTTAGTGTGTGGTGATTAATGACCGTTAGTCTATGATTATGATTATTCGGAAATCGTGAGATGCGGTATGGTGTGATGTAGGTTTCAGAAAAACATTTCCTTTATCGTGCCAACGTTTCGATCTTTATTGAGATCATCGTCAGGGCCTGGGAATTACAAACATTGTTTAAATTTAACAAATACATGTAGGATGTGGAAAAAAGTGAATTTATACAATGCAAAAAAATATTTTTTATATTCAATCAAATTATAGCATATAAGTAGAAAAATATTTTTTTGCGTTGTATATATTCACTTTTTCCCACATCCTACATGTTTTTGTTAAATGTAATGTAAATCCCAGGCCATGAAGATGATCTGAATAAAGATCGAAACGTTGGCACGATAAAGAAAGTGTTTTTCTGAAACCTACGTCACACCAGACCGCATCTCACCATATCCAAATAATCATTTACTTTTGGTTTTGACTAAATATTGTTATTTTGACTTAATCCATATTTTACCGGTCGAAAAGCTCACTGGGAATCTCAATTTTGTAACTTCTAATGTTGGATTGAACAACTGGTTTGGCTTGACATTATATGGACTAATTGACGGTTAGCAACAATTAGGCCATAGCGAAGTCTCGATTATCGTTAATCAAATCAAAAATGTGGCAGGGCTGATCATATTTTAATCAATATATCAATCATAAACCTAAAATTATACGGCTGTTAAGCGCGTCTGCGAACAAATAAATATGATTTTTTTCGGACCATGCAAGATAGCGTTATGTTAGTTCATTGCATGAGATTGTACCTAAGTAATTGATCTACATTTTATATAACATTTGTGTAAATTTGGTATAAAGTTTTAATCTATATGTTGTATGTTAACATAATTTAATATTACAATTAATTAAGGTTTTTAGTTGAGATAAAAAAGTCAATGGCACGAACGGGATTCGAACCCACGATCTTCGGCTAGATACGCCGCTGCGTCAAGCGGACCACGAAATTAGTGAATATAATTTAATATAGTGGCAATTAAAACTAGTTTATATACATAGCTGGTACTAGGCATTCTCATGTAGGTAAATATATTAATTCGTATTTGAACCATATAAAATCAATTTCTTTTATCATTATGTTAATCCTTTTTTCATAACAATTTTGTTTAGAATAGTTCTAGTTTTCTTTATATTTATATACTTATCTTTATTTTTTATACTTATCTTAATTTTACTTTAAATAAAACACGAAAAGTGGCAACGTCTCTCTTGGGTACAATTTTTCAGAAATTTTAGTTTTGAAATTGATCTATTGATTTACATAAATGCAACGCTGGATGAATATATGCGTTCAAACCCACATGTACATCAAAATTGAGTATGTCATTTCGGATTCTGCCACATTGACGCAAGCAAATACATTTAATTCCAACATTAAGTAGGAAACGCAAACAATGTACTAAGTACAAAAAAAAAATTAAAATGGATTTAGTCAGATATTGAATCTCACTCATTCTGAACATGTTCTTTTCTATTTCATACCATTTACTCAAGGAGGAACGAGAACACATTCATCCATCTTCTTTACAGATAATTAACGAGTCTAATCTAATTGAGGGATCTATAGAGTATTCAATATTCCGTCATCGGTTCACACTTCACTTCCATGCTAATAAATACTACAATTAATTAAGGTTTTTAGTTGAGATAAAAAGTCAATGGCACGAGCGGGATTCGAACCCACGATTTTCGGCTAGATACGTCGCTGCTCTACCACTTGAGCTATCGTGACCTCAATCCACTCGGACACTAACTTTCCATCTCAACCCCACCTTTTGAATTTTCCCTCCTTTGATCGTGGGTTCGAATCCCGCTCGTGCCATTGACTTTTTTATCTCAACTAAAAACCTTAATTAATTGTAATATATTAATTGGTCAAGCGGACCACGAAATGAGTGAAGCTAATAAATACCTTCACTCCCAATATAACATAAAACGAGATACATATAACAGCACCTTTTCCTCCAAAAATCGCTGCCGTTTCACGCACAATTGTAGTATTTGGTAGCATAGTTCTACTTGCACTCTATATGGACCCAATGTTAAATATGAAGCCATTCTTCAGTTGGAGCTTACCTGCCGTTCATCGCATTCATTAAACTAAACGAAAAAAATAGCTCGAATACTAGATAGACTGGATCACTAATCAGTGAAGTCTAAGAGTGTTTATTATTATCATTATATGTGCGGTGTTTAGTGACAGTTAGTTTATGATTATTTGGTTACCAGACCGCATTTCATGATCTCCAAATAATCATTATAGTTATTAGCCAGTGTAAAATTGACAGACGGTCGCATTTGATTAGTTTTAATAAAAAGAATGCATTGGAAAAAATTCGACTTCAAAAGGAACAAATACTCCTAGAGTAGCATTATAATAACTATTTAAAAAACGATCTTATTTATCTTTATAGTTTGTAGTAATGGACAAAGTGCTGCTCTGTATGTATAATTAATGCAATTATAAGTTAAAAACATACTTCATAATTGTAAGTTTGGATCTGTCATTTTAAAATCTAGATTGGGGGTGTCGGTGGCAGCACAGTTTAGGCGTAGACGCGCTCGTCACTGTAAAGTAAAGGTCCCGGGTTCGAATCCAGCGGCCCCAACATACTTACAAATGGGCTTTTTTTCAAACCCACCCCGAGGGTTCATATAACCTCGTAGTTGAAATACCGCATTAAAAAAAATTCTTGAAAAACTACATTCCTTTATGTTTTATTTTTTAAGTACAGCTAGTATATAGTTTGTCTGAATGGAAGACAATGATTAAAATAGTATATTCGTATATAGCCTAATTAGCCTCTATAACTACACAATATATTTAGCAGATCTGAGCTTAGTTAGTTTAAGGACGAATGTAAGTTTTACAAAATAAGGGCATTGCGATCGTTGAATTCTTTTGGGCGTTTTAAATGGAATCTCCGTTCACTTATTTTTAACCTTGGTGACTCGAAACAGACGGTTAAATAACTTACCTATTGTTACTATCTGTTTGACTTTCAAAAATATTCCCAGGAATATTGTCTCATGGGCATAGGGACGACATAAAACCGTCGCATCACTCTTATCTTGAGCAAAAATGCTGCTATGGATACGCGACAACACGCTTTGAACTCGGTCACAATCGATTCCACAATTTTCCCGGTTTGGAAGTGTTTGGCAGCCAGTCGTGATCGACAATTCGACCGGCGACCATCAGCCGCGGGTGAAAAGGTACGGAATGTATAAATTCTGACGAAAACAAAGTTACAATAACAATTGGATTTTATAACGCACTGCCTTAGTGTGGTGTTGACAATTTAAAAATAATTTAAATATTGCTGACATGGTAAAAAAAAAAACAATATAACTATTTATACATCGGACAAACAGAACTTTCAATCTTTCAGATAGTAATATAAACAATAACAAAAAACATATTCGAATCTGAAATCAAAATTAATAATTTAAAAGTAACCAATATGGTCAATTTATTTACAGTTTTGAAACTTATGGTTTCAAGCATGCTTTATACGAATATTTGTTGTCATTGTGATTTATTAGTCCTACATACCTCATACTCCCTCACCATCAAACAGGGAGGGCCATACGAGTGGGTTTCACAGATATTGAGCCTGTTTTGGAAATAAGGTGATTGTGGTACCGACAAGCTGTAAATGAACTGACCCATGGTATGGTAGAAAAGGAAGCGGGGTTTGTACACCCCAGACACCGCAGCCTTCTGGCTTATTGTACCTTCCTAGTTCCTTAGTTCAGTTCAATAGACCCAATACTTCTCCTTAGAAGTATCAGGTCATTGACTGTCGCTGTTGCAATTTGATTCCGTAAGTTTTTTCCGTACGTTAGGTTAAACCTCCGTTGAGCTTTTGCTTCGCATTCGAAGATGATCTGAGTGGCTGTTTCCTCCTCCTCATTACATAATCTGTAAATGGGATCATCGCTGTATACCCATGTTGCGTAGATGTTTTCTCAGATGCCAGTGACCAGTTAGTAATCCTACCTCTCTTCTGAGTTTGACCCATAGTATAGTTTATCTTATAGATGTATACAAGTACTCCTTAAAAGAAAATTACCACATTACATTGAGAGAATATAATTGTAGTAGTTTCAGAATCCTGATTGCACTAGCCCCTACCTATTGAACAGGGCTCTTTTTGAAAAAACTAGTCTTTTTCCAGACCCTTATAGTAAATATCGCTTAAAATTGGTTATTTTCGATCAGATATACCAGATTGGTTCTAATTTGTTTTGTACCCTTTGTCATTTAGCCGTTTAGCCGAAAAGAGATATTTTCGCATATTTTATTCAATTGCCCAATTTAATTACGATTTGGCCCAACTGCTTACTTGAATTTTGTTGTAAGCCGCAACACCAAATCAACAAGCCTCGTGAACCTACTGAATGCATCTTCAAGGATACGTCGGTACGGTGTATACCACATTATGTCACAAGAGGTCATGCTGAATGAGGGAAACATACATTGAACTTGTACATTTGACAGTTTTGTAATTTTATTTGGGGCCGCGGTAGCCGAGTGGTTAAGGCGTCAGACTCTCGGCTAGTAGATCCCGCGGTCGTGGGTTCGATCCCCACCGTCGCCTCTGGACTTTTTCTGACGCCTAAGAGGACCGGTGGCCGCAATTGAAAGATATTGACGCGTCACTCATCAATGGAAGGAGCGGGATCAGATCTCAGCGACCCTGAATTTGGTCCTAACCCCCTTCAAAAATGAGTTTCTTCGAAGGAAGAACACAGCACACCGGGGGCTCAAATT